AAGGTTACATAGCCTTGTAAACTAGGCTAGGAAAGTGAATGGGCATTGACTTGTCTGTTAATTACTTCAGCTCTCAGCCCACAGTGATCATGTTGTACTTTTACAGGTGGTAAGTCTCTCTCCTGCATGTATCATGTCAAAGAAACACAGCCATATGGTCTGTCAGCTCAGGGCCTTACACAGTAACCCCACCTGTGTGATACAAACAATTGTCTACCTGTGTTAAAATTTAACTCAACCAGATCCTCCATACACAAGCATCTTCCAGACTGGTTATTGAGATTTTTTTAGCTGAGAAAGGAAGAAAACCAGAAGGCTTTGAATTCAAATATACTCCAAAGTTGCAGCACACCCAGGACATGTGCCACATTTCAGGGGTGTTGAAGGTAATATAGTGTGAGGTAGTTGTGGCTATGATATGAAGGAAACATTGCCTTGTAAATCATGGAACCCGTTCCCCTTGGCATTAACAGGTGAGAACTCATCACAACTGGGACCTAAATGTAGGTAACCCATGAATCACATGATATGACCATATATTTATAACAGATCAGATGAATTGTACCCTGAGAAGGTCTATTTCTCTCTGCCATTTATAGCACAGAGAGATAGATGTCTGATGGTGAGATGAATCACAACACAAAATGAAAATGTAGTGATATGAGGAGAGGGCCAATGCAATTACTATATCCTGCTTAGATGATTAGTTCGTATCTGGCCCAGGTCAAAATGACTTGGACATGTCTTGAACATTACAAATTAGTTGCATTCATCCTTCAGAAACAGTTGAGGCTCTGCTGCCTAAGTATAGGCATCTTGTATGATCCTAGGCACTGTGATGTCCTCTTGGGCTCCATCTGTTACTCCAGAAGGACTTCTGGAGTAAGTCTTCTATAAATCCTGGGTCAAACAGTCAGCCATAGAAGGTTGTCTTGGATACCCTAAGGTGCCTTAAATTGCAGTAGGTATCTACACTTAGCAGCTGAATGTCATCCACACTGTCAAAGTTGACATCTCAAAGGCATAATGAGCTTGGAAAGAAAATCATTGCCCTGTCACGATAGAGAACGTGGATTAGGATGGTTAAGGGAAGCTGGTATTTTTGTGGGCACAGAATGACAAAAATGTTGAGCAAGGGACCGCTGAAGATCTTCTACCCAACCCCTAGCTCAGAGCAGGGTCAGCTAGAGCAGGTTGCCCAGGAATGTGTCCAGCTGGATTTTGAATATCTCTAGGCATGAAGACTTAATAACCTCTGTGGTCAACTTGTTCCAGTGTTTGTTCACTCCCCCAGTAAAAAATACTTATTCTCATGTTAAAACGGAAGTTCCTGTATTTCAGTTTGTGCCTACTGCCTCTTCTCCTATCCCTGGGTATCACTGAGAAGAGTCTGGCTTTGTGTTCTCTACGCAGTCCCATCAGGTAATTGTAACATTGATATGGAAAGACAGCAAAATAAAAATGTTTTTGTCTGGTGCCATAAACAACCACCTGACATAGGGTATCAACAGAACAGCATTTACAGGATCAAAGATTAAACAGAGCTTGCCAAACAAGGAAAGTTCTGTACTGCCCATTTACTATTTCATATCAAAATAGCTTAAACTGTTGTGCAAGTGGGTGTTTTGGTGTTTTTAATTCAAAGATGGTTGTAAATTACAAGGACTAGAGTGGCTGAGGGAACTGGGGTTGTTTAGTCTTGAGAAGGCTGAGGGGAGACCTCATCGCCCTCTACAGCTACCTGAAAGGAGGGTGCAGAGAGCTGGGGATGAGTCTCTTTAACCAAGTAATAACCGATAGAACAAGAAGGAACGGCCTCAAGTTCACCAGGGAAGGTTTAGACTAGATATTAGGAAGCATTTATTTCCAGAACGGGTTGTTGGGCATTGGAATGGGCTGCCCAGGGAGGTGGTGGAGTCCCCATCCCTGAAGGTGTTTAAGAGTCGGGTCAACATAGCACTGAGGGATATGGTGTAGTTGGGAACTGGTAATTGTTGGGTTGATGGTTGGACTAGATGATCTTCAAGGTCTTTTCCAACCTAAACAATTCTGTGATTATTTCTCAATAAGAGATTAAGGTGGAGTTAGACACCCAAACACTTTTCAAGATCAGATTCTACTTAAAAATTTGAAACATGATTGTTTGATTCTCTGGAGAAAATGTTAATGCAGTTAAAACAGGTAGCAGTACTTTTAGAACAGAAACTAGTCTTAGCCCTAGGTTCAATACCAGTCAGAATACCAAACCCCTTAAATATTGTGTACACTTGCACATACTAGAATATGACTGCTTTCTTTGAACTATTTGTGTGAGATACACAAAAGCAAGATGAAATCAACATACATGATGCATTTTTTCAGACATTAATTTCAGATATTAATTTCTATATCTCCAAAATATAGTTACTGGTGAGTTGAAAATCCTTTATGCAATAGTGGCCTATTGAAAATAATTTCTCTGTCATTAAATAAAGTATAGCTATAGAATACATACTTCAGGATGTTCTAGGCCAGTAAAACGTATCTCTCAGTCTACTGGACTGTGACCTGCAGTAATATATATATTGCCAAAATACTCTTCTGAGCAACTACACTTGTAATACTTACCATAAATGAAGAATATGAAAAAAGTATTTTAGAATCTTGTGAACAGAGTAATTTTCTTTTTTTCCTACATACAACTTAAGTTACAAATAAAACTAGAAACATTTTTCAGCAAATGAAAAACTGATGTATCCAGAAAATGGAAATCCAAACACAACAGCAAGTTCTTTATTGTGGTGTCATAGAAAACAGCAATGATTTTTCAAATCACTATCGTGCCCTTCAGATAGATGTCTCAGTTGCGTATTTTAGGACAGGGGACCAAACATCCTCTAGGAGAAAAGGAAAAATGATTGTTGCTGCAGAGCTTGGCAGATACTAAGATCTCAGTTGGATCCCTCTGTGTCATTCAGAAGGGCTGAGCATAGCATTTGAATCATCTGGCATCTTGAATTTGGAGGTCAGGTGGGTTGCAACACATTTATTCGATGCTCTGGCTATTTTGGCTCTGTGTGAAAAGGAGCTGCATGGGATCTCCATGCAGAGTTTAGGATTAAGTGGCTCCTAACCTGGTGTGCATCTGAGTATCAGTATGGGAGAGAAACTGGTATCTTGCTGTTAAAGGTGCAAGAAAATTTTTTTGTGTAGTGAGATGAGAGCAGAGATAATCAGCTGTTATCACAAAAGGCAAAATTGCAAGTTTTTACACATTTGTCTTAGAGAAGAAACTTTCTGCTGTATGTTTGCAAATTCTGTAATGGATCTGCAAATTTTTATATTCATTGTAGGGCAGCGGGTCAGACAAAAACAACAGATTGGTGACAAGTATTAATCAGGTGCTATTTAATAATAATTTAATCTGGTAATCCAGGAAAAAAAAAAATCTGTTGATATTGTGATTTGAATCCATTCTGTATCAGTTTCAAAGCTGCATGATTAGTTTATGCTGCCACATACTAGAAATATGTAAATTGCCATTTTGCATAATCTCTTAAATCAGCTGTTTTTCTATATTAAAATGCAGTCATAAACATTACACATGTCACATTATTGTAAAAAATACACAGTGAAAACATTGGGCAAACATTTTCTTTCAAAATTTTGGCATAGAATCTTCCCATTGAGCATCCAGTTTTTGTTATCTCTCTTTGGAGATTTTTTTTTTTAAATGAAAATTTTTTTATTATGCTTTAATGAAAGCTCCAGGCATAAGAAAAATAATCATACAAGATATTCACAGTCACGGTATTCAGTCCTGATCAAGTGCTGCAGTACCAAAGGATTCAATTTTTCATGATTCTTATCAAAAGAGAGGTGATATCTAATCTCATGAGATAGCTAAGGCTTAAACTGAGGTTACTGTAACAAACAACTGGGAATTACAAACACATCCTGTAGGGAATGATACCCAAAATTCTAAAAGCTATCCATTGGAAAACTGGCTCTGTAAGACAATGTGCACTATGCAAATACCTGGGCTGGATGATACTAGCTCTACCTTTGAAAAAGTTCTCTTTTAAAAGTTCCTGACCGCAGCAATGATTTTGCACTAAAGCTCATTGCCCACTACAAACTGGGAGACAACTCCTAGCCCAAAACAGAGAAAATGGAGGATAACAAATCTCTGTAACAATAAACTTATCAATCTGTCCTTCCATAGCTCAGTGAGTTAACACTGGAGCATGAAGACCTCAGAAAATAAGTGTCTTGGATTTTCCCACTAGTTTAAGCCCTTTCAGCTTGTGTCACTGCAAGAAATCATGATGTTCCACTTTCTCTAGTGTTTACTCATTTTTTATGTGTTGGTGGTATTTTGTCCATTAGCAGCACAAGATAAACTATGCTTCCAAACTTGCAGACAGACATTAATTTCAGATGGACTAGCCCTGAATAAAGTTCTCCTTCAAGGGTGTAGACAAGGAGATAATGATAAATTGCAGGACTGGGCACACCAGAAGCTCCTCCGTTGTCATATTAATTCTGGCTTCTTCATTGATCTTGGGTAACTCGTAGAAGTTCTGCCCCTTAAACCCCTACATCAGTAAAATGTGATTTATATATCTTGAGATTTGTAACAAGTATGAGCTGAGACTCACTCCCGCAAGCACTTGTCATTTTACAATGTTCTTTCCAGCAGTTTTGCCAAGGAAGACATCAAGCACCAACAGATCTCACAGCCTCTCAGGATCAGGTCTTTAAGTTGCTGAGTGTGTTCAGCATTATGGATAGCAGCTAAGCACTAAATATTTTGAAGGCATTTGATATCTGCAGTAAGTCATGTCCCTGTTCATATTTAAAGGAATGCTTCTCAAATTCCTTATGTGCTCCACAGAAAATAATTAAAAAGCCATAAAGATGAACAAAAGCCAAAAATCATAAAATGAAGCAAAGGGACTCCAGGAAGGTGAGTGTTTCTGCAGCAGCTTTTGCTAGCATGCGTGTATTCTTGCTTTTAGGTCCCAGTCTGTGGTGGAAGCCGGCACACTGAAACACGAAGACCAAGGGGAAAGCGACAACACCCAGCCGCTGCTGGCTCTGGACTGAGCTCCCACGTGCTCAACACACAGAGATACATTAACTGGCATCCACCATACCAGAAACACACAGAGCACACCACACACACACACACACACACACACACACACACACGTGTTTTGCTTGAGAACAAGTCCTTCATGTTTCTTGACCAAGTAACAACTGTCACCCACCATCTGTCCATGTGGCCAACAATGAACAAAACCAAACACTTCTATTGACACAGGAGTCTGTCCATACATAAAGAATTTACTTTTTTTTTTTTTTTTTCTTTTTTTGACTTATGACATTAAAATATTGCAAGTGATGGGACTGCATTATCTTTTTAAAGAAAGCGGGGTGTGTCAGTAGTTTTCCTGAAGACTCCATCAGGGATGCTCAGTTTTATAGAAGCAAAGGTTAAGTGTGTTTTAAAGAAAAGCATCTCAGATTTAAATTTTGCACTGTAATCAGCAGTTTAATCTGTCTCAGAGAGCAGAAACAGCAGCATCTACATAGTGCCCAAGTTTTACAGAAGAATTTTGCATTTAAAAAAAAGAAAAAAAGTCAGTGCCGGCATGCCATTCAACATGACACTTTGTGACTGCCTCATCCATGCTGTTTATAGGAGGTCACATTTCAGCATCTAGCAAAAATTATTCTTAACTTTTGAAGCCCTTATAAAACTGTGAGCTAAGTGGAATGAGCTGTGTGGGCAGTAGACGCACACAATTTGAAATGCAATTATTTAATTTTAACAATGTGTTTTTCCACAGGCAACTCGGGAACCTATTTAGATACGTGCGTGTGCATGTGTGTGTGTGTGTGTGTGTGAAGGGGGGGTGATAGGGAGACCCATTGGATACATTCACCAGTGATTAATGGTTCAATCCAGATTGTTTCATTTAGGTCACAACAGCAAATGAAAGCTCTGCAGAGCCATTTTCCCTCTTCCCTCCCGCAATCAGTGAAAGGTGTAGCCAGAAGGGTATGCTGATTGCAGATGTGGACCATGGTTAAAATGAAAAAGGAAAACTTAGAATTAATTATTCAGTACAAGCTTCTGTTAGAAGGAAATGTGGAAGAATAGAACTGAAATGCCAAAGATCAGTTTGTTATTTCTCTGCTCTAGCTGCAAAAAGAGTCCCATCCCTTCATTGAAATGGAAATCAGATTAAAGAAATAAAAGAAAAATTGTTATCAACTTGCATGTGCAGTGACTTTATTTCCTAAAATGGTTACAACCACTGTACACACCTTTAGTCTTCAATTAAATTGCCATACATTGACAATTTACTAGAACAAGCAGTTGGCAACAACACATCAAAAGTAGTAGTGTAAACCATATATATAAAATGAGATGATAATGGGCACAAGAGTTTTTAATGTGCCTCTGGAACATCCACTGAATACACAAGCAATACACTGAAGTGATGATATAGTTCAACTGGTCAGCCCTAACAGATGGACTAACAAAATACTGCCTTTATCTACAACAACATTTTATGCCCGCACAGGGCAGAAAGGACATTCTGCCAGATCCTATCAACACACCTGGGATTTAACCACTAGTATTTGTACAGAATAGCCTCATTCACACTAACCACCTTCTGCAGCAGCATGTCATTGATACAAAGCCTGGTCTCCATGATAGAGAGCAAGTCTTTAAGGCAGTGGATGGCCCCAGCAAGGCAACACGGGAGTTAGAAGAAGCAGCACAAGTTTGCAGTAACATTAAACAAGCAAGACAACTGAGCCATTTATCTCTGGGATTTCTTCCATTCCCCCTCCCCTGGCATTACCACCTATTACAGAAAACTAGGATGTCAACTCCTGGTAACAGGACAAAGGTCCCTTCCTTTCTCAGGGCTCATGAAGACTCACAGGCATCTGAATTTGTCACAGAGAACTTGCTTAAAGCAGAAAATAAAAAACCAAACAGACAAAAAAGGACAGACATTGGCCATTATACTGCAGCATTAATGAATAAATACTTTGGCTTACAATTTTTCTCTGTTAATACTCTTACCTCCACTGCCATTGAATCTTTGAGACACCTGTTACAATCACTGTTCATTCAAGTGGGACTTGTTCTGCCCAAGAAGTGCAAATATCACTGAAATCCAGTCCTCGAGGATTAATCCTTGGAAAGGATTAGAATTTTTTTTTTTTAATCTGTGACATGAATAAATACATATGATGCCTTGTATATAACCATATGATGCTTGTATTTAACTGTAGGATCTTATACAGACTGTGCTTGCAAGCAAGGCAACTATAGCCAGGGAGAAATCCACCTCCTAACAGCATGATGAGTACATACTGCCTTACAAACAGGAGACTATATTGCCCTTTTCTGTCATTGCCCTCCGTAAATTTACAGAAAAAAAATATTTAAATTGCAATGTCTCTCCATTTAAAAAACATTTCCATTCACTTCTTTCATTGGCATTTTCAATGCTGAAAAGCTTTTTCAAGGTGAAATGCCAGTTGGCAAACAGGAATACCTAAAATAATATACCACTTATTCACTACAAAATTTCTGTAGTTTACTATATACATATCTATCTCCTCCATATGTAACTAATCCGCTAACTGTACCTAAGAAAAAGATGCTCTCAGTTCCTTGACATGTAGGCATAGAGTAGATTTACTTCAGTATTGCAGGAGCTATTCATAATACACCTTGCCATATTCAAGGCACTTAAGATTTTAAATTGCCAATATATCACTACACAATTTAATAAACAGTGCTACTCCAGCACACACACATCTTGGGTAGATTACTTTTATCTATTTGCCAATTTTATCTATTTGCCAATTGCAAATGGACAAGATAAAGTATGAGCCTTCAAATGAACAATGAAACATTCTGAAGGATGGCATGGATTTTCATAAACAAAGCTCCAAAGCTTTTACTCCTCCTTTAGTATTTACTCTGAGCTATAGAAATGAAAATGCAACATTAATAAAAATATTTCTAAACCACAAATTTTGGTTTAAACAGTTCTTGATTTCTTCTTTACAAACTATGTCTTTATTTTAGAGAATTACAAAATAGTTTATAATTTCTACTGATAATCACTTTATAAAGATACAAAATACAGCCTCTAACTAAACAACTACCGGGATATTTAATTTTATTTTTTTTTACTATCTTACCCCCCACAATAACGAGTACCTTATTTCGACTTTTGCACCATGATTCTCCTAAAGCTCCCCAAAAGCACTTTTATATTTTCTTAAGCATGAAACTTATAAATCTTTTCAGTTTTCATGATGATGAAATGAGAACTGTTGCTTTCTTGTATATTATGTATAGTCTTAGTGCTGTTTTTGATATGGACAACACATTAAAGCCTAATTATCATAGCTGTCTAAAACTGATTCTCAATTAGGGAGGGTTTATCAGTTTAATAGTCAAAAAGGAAATTAAAGTGCACACCTCCAGAAACTGGTTATACTAATTTATGGTGCAATCACCACGTATTACACGGCATTACAAGATTTAGTTACCTAGTAAAATACAAACTCTGAAAAGCATTCAGTTTATGGGAAGGCACAGCTCTTATCTGTATTTTGCTTCAGCAAATGTGGCATTCTGGTCACAATACTTAGGTACCATGATGTAGTCTCTGCAGTAAAAAAACCACTGAGCATTAAACAAATAAGATGACTGTTCACTGTCTTTTGGACAACAAAGCCAAAACTGTGGAGACTCAGTAACTTCAGTGTCTCCTTGCTTAGTGTTTGTCTCTCACAACCCTCGGTAATGATGCCACTGCTCTTGACAAGCCCTCAGCACCCTAGCACACCTATCTACACCCTGATGGTTTTGCCAGCTATAAACATCTACAGTGCAACCTCAGGTCACTCTTTCCTGTTAGTGTTCTTAGAAGTTAACAAGGGAAGGTTCTGCACCCTCCATTTCCCATCAAACTGTACGGACCCAAAAGACCAGCCAACTGCTTAAACATCCAATCAGTTTTCTTTCTTGAAAATAGGCCTTTTTCCACATAGTAAATTCTGTATGGCAAATTCAAAGCATGCTGTAAATGGTACTGGGATAAGACTAATTCAGCATTATGCCATACATTTCAAGACAAGGAAAACACTTTTAGGTCAATTAAAGGATCATTCTAGCACTCTGTAGGATGCTGGCAGCAGAAGTTAATACAAGTTAATAACCTGAAGCTCTTTGTCTCCTCTGCATTCTGGCAGGAAACCAAGTTAGACTTTGTCCTTCTGCCCAAAGCACAAGAAATTCTTCACATATTTTTTTCTCCGCTGAATGACCACCCAAGGGTAACATAGGAGCAGCCCCTAGAAGGGGGTGCCCCAGACCCCTGCTAGGTAGAAAATGGATATCACAACACAAACTTTTGTAATGATATGAGAAACAGCAGTTCACCACAAAAGCCTAAAAACTGTCAAGCACTTTACGATCTGAGACCACAGATGTCACATTTGCTCAACATCTTCCAAAATCACATTATCAAACTGAAGGTTGCCTGCTAAGAGAACTATTTTGTTTTAGAAGAACAATGCTTCACTAAGCAGCTGATTATGCAAGTTTCTGTTTGCCTTTGCAGGAAGGCAAGAGAAGGCCACACTTGGCAAAAATGAAATCTGTTTATATATAACAGTATTTTCCTTCTGCTGATCGCTAGAGATGCACTTTTATATATAGGATTTTTTTTTAAAAAAATAGTGGTTGATTAAAGAAAATTTGTTCATAATTATGCTAGAAAAATACAGTTACTCAGGTAGAAAAAAAATACAAAACATACATAATGTGTTCACATTATCTACAGTTGATAACACAGGGACACATTCTATGCCTAAAGCAGCTAATATTACAATTGCATACTGATTTTCAAAGTTGATTGTGTGCATATGTTTGTAAATATCTTACATGTTGCCTCCCAGATAAAATCCTGGGAAGTATTTCCCAGATGCAGAATTGCAAATCTTGTGCCTGAACCTGGTCAGGCAGGTGACAGACTAACTGCCTTTGTACGTATAATGGTCCATGACAAAAACATCTGCACATTCCTCAGTTTGAAAATCCAGACCTACTGCTCTTTGGCTGACAAGATCTCTATTTTTCAAACTTGCAGCCAGAAAAAAATACATATCAGTGCTGTATCAGTATGAACAAAACATGGCTTTTTTTTTTTTCCTTCTTTTTTTCCTTTTTTAAAATCAAGTCCTCTGTGATTGCAAAATGTCGTCCTTATCTCTTCTAACCCTTACAATACTTGTATTCTTTGTATGCTGGATAAATTAATCCTATCCGCATACTCTAAAGGGGTTAAAGCTCCTCTGCTCCGCACAACAGAAGGAACCCCTTAAATAGCAGGAAGGGTGCGTCTCTGTTGTGCTGTTAACTCAGGGTGCCACACATCCACAATGAATATCAGGCGATAATTTTCAGCATCCTGCCATACTTCATGTTCGAATGAGTCATCAAAAATAAGAACTTTCCCTTCTTCCCAGGTTCTGCAACACAAAAAAAGAACATGCTTTAGTGTAGTATTTGAAGTGCTGTGGAGCAGGGCAGCTATATATCAGCTCTGAAGATGTTCCTTGACATATTACAATGATTTAAACAGTATATATTGCACAGTCAGGATTTCACTACCTAATATAAAGAGATTACGTATCAGTTTTAACTGAAATAAATTACAGAAAGATCAGTCTAAAGGACCTTTGTATTACTGAAGGATTGTTTCTCCTCTCCTCATCTCCTCACTCTGCATAGTTATCCCCACATACAAATTAAGACATTTATAATATTTGTTACTTATATACTTCTGAGTTGAGTCCAACAAGCAGGGAGCAGGTATAATACTGGTGTATCAACTTTTCTCCTTTTCTGATCAGATACATACATAATGAGTGATGGCAACTGAGGGAATGACCAGTAATATGGTCATATGGTTTGAAAACAAATTACATTAAATCAATCTGCTTTTTCTAAAAATCAGAACAACAGAATTGGGCCCTGATCATGCTTAAAATTTCAGGGATGTTAATAGCAGTCAGTCTAAAGGCTTTTCTTCAGAGGAAGGTTGTAATGCCATAATGTACACTGGGTTAACTCTACTGTTAAAACTGAACTGGAAAGATGAGTCCACATAACTTAAAGCCCCTCTGCTTGCCAAGTTCTGCTTAGGCAGAGCACATCACTGAATGGATGCAAATAACCTCGGTGAGTGTTCTTTACAGCATGTAAGAGTCAAGATTTAACTGTGGTACTTTTCCAAAACCTGTACCTTTGTTAGGCCCCAAAAGAGACACACAGTTTATTTCAAGTGGCTTGGTTATGAGTGCCTTCATTGTTTGAAAAATTAACAAGATTACCAGATTTAAAAGCAATGGCGAGGGGCAATGTAGAAGGGAATTCTACAGAACTAACTGGCAGAAGAATCAGTGTTTCTGTCAATTTTATGAAGTATAGAATCACAGAATAATTTAGGTCAGAAGAAACCTTGGAAGGGCATCTGCTCCAAGCCTCACTGCAAAGTCAGATCCAACTCTGAGGTTAGATGAGATATCTCAGGTTCTTGATTAGTGGAGTTTTGAATATCTGCAACCACAGACATTCTACCACCTCTTCCCGTGTTTCACCAACCTTGTGAGAAATTCCTTCTATCTAGATGGAATTTCCTTCACTGTCATTTGTGTCCATTACCTCTCATTCTATAACTGCACACCTCTGGAAAGAGTCTAACTCTGTCTTCTGCACAGTCACACATTAGTAGTTGAAGACAGTAACTAGGCTCCCCTTTAGTCTCCTCTTCTTCAGATTCCAAACCAGCTCTCTGACCTTCTCCTCATGTGTTGCATGCTCCAGTCTCCTAATATTTTTTCAGTCTCCACTGGAGTCCCTCTAGTTTATCAATGACTTTTTTTGTACTGAAGAGCCCCAAACTGGATACAGTACTCCAGAGGCAGTGTCTTGAGTGCAGAAGAGAGCGAAAAAATTACTCCCCTCAAACTGCTTCCTATGTACTTAATAACAGTCCAGTACACAGGCCTTTATCAAGACAAGAGCACTTTATGTCTCATGTCCAATTTATCCCCTAGGACCCTTAAATCCTTTTCTACAGAGCTACTTTCTATGCAGTCATCAGCCAGCCTGTAATGTCACAAGGTGTTAATCTGCTGTTATCAGTTGCAGGGTTTTGCATATGTCTTTGTTGAACTTCATGAAATTTCAGCTTGCACGCTTCTCCAGCCTGCTGAGATCTGGATTAATGATTTTGAAAAGAGCTTTAACACCTGGTTAAAGGCAGTCCTGATACTGCAAAAAATCAGCATCTGATCAGTGACCACTAGTGATAATGTCACATGTCAAAAAGTCACGGTGCTACTCGTTTGTTGCTGCCCCTCAGATCTCAATCTAACCCACTGCATTTAGACACAGTAGCTGATTATGTGTTTCATGTTTTGTCTATTGTAAAGTCAGGCAGTGGTATAAGGAAAGCAAATTTATCGTGCATTGCAGCAGGATGAAAGCATGCACCTGATTATACCCTTTCAGGTAAGACTGGATGAATAAGTCAGTTGATTCAATAATGGTCAAAGAAGTGTTACCTCCTAAAGCCACTCTACAATGACTGCATAATCAAGTTTATTAACAGATTCCTTAGGAGCTGAAGCTGTCCAAGAGGATGGATGCCCATAAGGGGAATTAAGAACTACGACCAACAGTAGGATGGTAAAGAAACAAAGGTCTTCCCATCAAAGACAAAAATACATTGCTTAGCTCATTCAATTGTGTTCAAATTTTTTTTTTTTTTTTTTTTTTTTGTTTTCAAAAACGGGGTGAATGTGAGATTTAGACTCCCAAGTCATCTCGGTATTTTAAATTTTTTAAATTCAACAAAAGCAAAAATTAACCATCGAAATTTTTTGGGTTGTGCTGTAATGTTCTGAAGAGAACTAGAAATTGGAGCATTTCTACTGAATCTACTGATCTACTGATCACGTAAACATATTTTAAGCAAGAGTAGATAAAGCAGAAACCATAACAGTAAAAAATGCACACAGGTTTGCACACAGACATAAGCCTTGAAGGCCCAGATAATGAGCCTTTTGCAGGTTTCAGCTATGATCATGTGTTTTTTTCTGTTACTGTGTCAATTATCTGGTAACAAAAATGTTTCATGCTATACAGACCCTGAGTCTCTGTTACTGCACTAAAGTTACACTGGCATTATTCAAGTCAGTGGGAGTCTTACAATGCTGTAATGTGGTACAAAAATCAAGTAGACACTCGGGTTTTTGTGGAGTGTGTGTGTGGGTTTTGGTTGTTTGGAGGGGTGGGGAATTTGTTTTTGTTTGAGGGGTACTTTGTTTTGGTATTTTTTTGTTGGTGGTGGGGTTTTTGGGGTGTTAGTTTTTTGGGCTTTTTTTTTTTTTTTTTTTGTGGGGTCTTTTGTTTTTGTTTTAAAAAAATAAACCAAGCCTGAATAATCCTGCCCTAAATAGCCTGAAAGTGCAGCTCAGTTACAGACAACAAAAAATCCAAGCACCCAGATGAAGTAGCTTCAGAGGTTAAAACCCAGGATCTATCATTTGCATCATAATGGGATGGGCTGTTTTGCACAACAAAGAAAAAGTCACAAAGTTGACAGAACTATTAGCTCCTTTTAAACAGATTACAAACCCCACCATTAGCATGTAAATAAATATTTTCTAGAAGCCTTTACGGTGTGAGAAACAATTCACATGGAACCATATTATTCCCGTCTGGTGCTGAGCCACTTTGGGATAGTTTCTGTATCACCTGCATGGCTCTAACATCACATGTTACATGTGAGATCTTGGACTGGATTCTGCATAAGGCTGCAATTCTGCACCTTCATTTCAAAATGAGATTATCTTGTCTGACAGAGATGTTCGATTTTGATAACTGGATATTATTTACCTACTGATTTTTGGGCATTGTACCCTATACTTTACAGAGCTGGGACTTCAAAATGGCCCAAGGACCTAAAATTACTATAGCTGTACTGAATAGCACTGAGGTGTACCAGCTCCTAGCAGCTGCAGAAAGACTCTCATGCAAGTGAAGGAGTAAAAAACAGTACTACACAGAGCTGATTTGCCTGTCCATCAAAGGATGAGTTCTACTGTAACACTGTCCCTCTAAACACCCCCACTGGGTGGCACAGAGGTAACCAAGGAAAAAATTCTTACTGTTCTGTTCTTTATCTCATATACACAGTAGTGGGACAGGAGGCCAGAAAAAGGCCTGACCTACACTAACATTCATATTTGAACCAGACCTCCTATTTTAAACCACAAGTTTGCCACTGCTCTGAATCATCAGGAAGGGAGGAACGGAAAATGCCCAAGGTACGATTTCCTCCTGACACCATTCTCTTCCATAGCAGTTCACCCATCTCCTCTTTCATGGGGGAAGGGATGTAAAAAAAACCCTGCCAGCAGCAGACACACTTTCAGTGTTTTCAGGGAAAATCCTGTCCTTGATTCTGAATGTATAGCTCTTGCCAAAAGCAACTGAAGTTAACACAGTCCAGCACAGGCTGTAGTTAGCACTTGAATGCTTTATGTTTCAAATGAGCGAGTCTGATGCCTGAGATTGAGCCAGGTTCAGGAGCCCAGACGCTGAAGTGCTCTGTCTGCAGATACCAGCAACAAAAGGTGTTTCTCCACTCTTGACTTT